GAATGATTTGATGAGACTAAATTTGGTCTTAAGATTAGATAATACCAACAATAAATTACCAACAATAAAAGGTAAGTTTCTATTTTTCAGGAACATGTTTGTTTAATAAAATGATATTTAATACTTAAATTACTTACTTTTATTTAACTTTTGAATATTATTTTTTTCTTTTTTTAAGATTATTTATGCATACAAGAACTGGGATATAGGCCAGAGGTGTTGCGGGGGTGAGAGGATTCACCAGAAACAGAGTGGGAAATAGAACAGGCAGATCAACAAAATACACTGCTGAGGGGAGCATTGGGCAAGTCAGGAGAGGTCTGCTGTGCTATGTGGGTGTCTCCTTGGCTGGGGATAGCTTCATAGTGCTATCCTTAACCCCTTGTGCCATCAGGGAGGCCCTTAAATATTAACTTCTTATAACATGCCAGATTATGTGCTAAGCCCTTTTGAACGTATTGTCTCATTCAATTCTTCCAAGAACTTGGTGAAAGATTCTGCAATTATCCTTACTTTATAGGTGAAGAAACCAAACACTTGAGAGAGTTGGGTAAATGGATCAAGTTAGTATAATAAGTAGATCCTACGTTTAAGCGCCTGCAACACTTTGTTGGTGACAAACAAAGTTACCCATCAGAGCAGCCTCCTTAATCCTGACTGCATTTTAGAACCACAGGGGAGTCATCAGCCCTAGAGGTGGTCCTTGGCATCAATATATTATGAAATTGCCACCTAGTGATTCTAAAGGGCAGACAGAGTCCTGGTCTGCTGAGCTAGACTATCCTGTCACCCTAACATACACTGAATAATCATAAATGCCTATATTCCACCACCACCCCAAATCATAAGGGGGTGGAAAATTACTAATAGTAAAATCATAGAAGATGAAGCTTTTGGTGCTTTTTTTTTTTTTTTCCATTTTTACTCTTACAAAGGAAAGCTGTGTTCTTCATCTTTTTAAGACTGACAGGCAGCACAAAAACAAAATCAAAGAAGCTAGGGGTAAAAAGGAAAAGGTGAGAGAGGGGTATCGAGACAGACAGGAAGAGAGTAGCTGAAGTTGGGCTGTTGATGTAATGAGACCCCCATCTACTGATGAGCGGTTGGTAATATCAAAGGCGCATTGGCAGAGCGTTTCCTTTTCAGTAATTGTACAAAGACTCCCTTGCCATTACAAAGCACTTTTCTTCTTGGCAGGTTGAAGAATGCTTTACCAACTAAATGCATCCCAGTAATATTCAGAGCTTAGGTCCAATATAATCATAAGTTGCCTTGTTATTGCGGAGGTAGCAGCCCCATTTAATAACATATTAAATGCATTATTCATTTATGTAACTCAGACCCAGGGACAGCTGCTGGGATGAAAATAGAACCATTCTGTAATGCAAAAAAGCAGGTGTGTGCTTACTTTAGTAAATGAACTCTGTATTTCTGCACAATTTTCTTCTGAATTTCAGGGACAGGTCTGGTAGGGCTAATGCAATGCCATTTTCGCCCAGGAAACAAAATGATTTCAGAATGGATTTTAATGAGCATTTAAAAAAAAATTACCAACAGTCTTCTCTGTGGCAGAATCCCAGAGGGATTCATTCGTGCTTTGGATTTAAACAGAACTCCTATTGCTGCAGGATTCAGGAAAGCTGGGGCTGTGATTGGTCAGAACAGCAACAAACAAAAGGAATGTTTTCCAGCTGATGTTGCTGGTGGTGGTGGTGAGCTTGTGCTGCTATAGCCGCTCGCCAAGATAGAGTCGCAGGTGTGCTTGGATGCTAGTGATTAAAAACCATAGGCTGCCTTGACTTTGCATAGTGACTTTCCTCTGAAACACACAGGGAGTTTATCATGTTCAGTGAAACTCACCCGGATGCCACAATCACCACATGGCATTGCTGGTCATTTTCTTGGTCCCATTGCTGGCTCCAGAATGCCACCATTCTTCAATGGCTGTGCCATTTATTTCTCCTTCTTTCTCCCATCTGTCATGATTTTCTCTTTTGTCAGTATGCACTTTTAAAATCTATGATGAATTTTCTAAAAGCAGCACATGGGATAATGTTCAGAATGCTCAGATGAGATAATGACCAATCAGAATAAGTGTGGTCTTAGTGCAGAAGTAGGGTTTTGGAGTCCCTCTGATAGACAGAGAAGCAGGGGCTCCAGGGATAAGCATCAGTATGATAGGGTTAATGGGTGAGGCGCTTAAAGGCTTTGGGACAGAGGTAATAGCCAACTGCTATGCAAATATTTCAGTATTTAAGCATACAGTCATCCACGTGTGATCCTTTGAATTTTCACTTGGGGCTTGAGGATACCCCAAGGAGCTTGACATTCCTAGTTACATACATAGGAAGAAAATCATACATGACATGTGATTCCTATAAAGTCATGAGAATTCCTGTAAAGTTTAGCTGAGGAATGGTCTTAGTCCATTTAAAGAGGCAAGACAGAATGAAGTCAAATAGTGGATCCTGGACAAACTGTCCAGAATCCTGGCAGTGCGACCTTGTAAAAACTAGTTAAGATTAGGCTTCCCTTGGTGGCGCAGGCGGTTGAGCGCCACACTGTGAAGCTGTCCACAGCCTCTGCAGTGCTGGTTCGATCCTGGCCGGCTGGCGAGGGTCCCACATGGAGCAGCGGACCTCTCCTGTCGCACCTGCTGCTCCCCTGATAAGTGTATTTTGTCGGTCTGCCTGTTGTGCTCCCTGCTTTGTCTCTGGTAAATCTTCTCACCCTCCCACACATCTGGACTATACCCCAGTTCTTGTATAAATAAATAAATAAATCTTTAAAAAATATGTCAAATGTTCTTTATTTATAAAATAAAAAGCTAGTTAAGATTTATGCATCTTAATTTCTTCATCTTAATATTGTTATATGTTAATAAGTAATACCTTCCTTATCAGGGATATCTTAAAGATAAATGAGGGAACTCTTTTTTAAGAACTTAGCACAATGGCGAGCTTTCACTTTTTTTTTTTTAATTGCTGAGTGGTATTCCATTGTGTCACACCTTTTATATCTATTCATGCTTTGTTGGGCATTTAATTTGTGACAACATGGATAGACCTTGAGGGCATTATTCTAAGTGAAATAAGTCAAACAAAGAATGACAAATACTATATGGTTTCACTCAAGGAAGACAAAGAAATAAAACCAGTGAACAAGAAGAGCAAAACAAACAATCTCTTAGACTATAAGAGCAATATTGTTATCACCAGAAGGTAAGGGGCCTGGGGAGTGTTACATAGTAGAAGATGGAAACTAGCCTTTTACTGATGATCCTAATATAATAGTATGTGAAACCTCTATAATGTTATAACCCAATATTACTTAATCAAAAGAAATAAATGGGTAAATAAGAACTTAGCACAGTGACAAGACTACATTAAGTACTCTGTATTATGAAATTCCTAGTATCATATTCACAGAAGGATTGGAGCTGTAAAGTAAGAAGTAGGTAAATTTTAGGCAACTGACAAAGCATGCAGAAGGATCCAAAAGCAGAAGGAGCAAAAGCAAACATTTTCAGGAGAATTGAAAATAAAGGTGTGGCTAGAGCAGAATGAGCTAGTTAGGGTGGAAGAGTCCAGAAAAGTAAAATAAAGACAGCTGGTAGAAAGCTTCAGGGGTAAGATGATAGGATTTGCAACATATCCTAAGAGCATTTGGAAGTCATGAAGGTCTTGAAAAGGTGGGAGAAACAATAATGATGCTAAGTAAAAATTATTAATAGCATTTCAGAAGCACTTGTTAATTGTCAGGATAGTTTTAAGTACTTTGTAGGTATTAATGTGCTTACTCCTTATAAACTACTCTCTGTCCAGAGTGAGTTAAACATAATCTGTGTGGTCTAAGCACTTTCCAAGGTGCATTTAATTTGATTTTCTCAACCATGCCTTTAGGTTGTTTCTCCTGATGCTCAGGAGCAGAGGAAAGGTCATTGACTAGATTTGAAAAGGATAGGAATTATAGCTGGACACTGCAGTGTCCTTTTTTGTAAATAAAAAAAACCCTTCCATTCTTTTTTTGCATTGTGTCTGTCCAGTAAAATGCTATAACCCACAAAAACCATAGAGCCCACAAAGCTGAAATATTTGCTGTCTGCCCCTGTATATAAACAGTCTGAAATCCCTGGTCTGGAAGAGTAAGAAGACCTTGGGCTTTGTTTCCAGCTTAGCGCTATGCTAACTTAGACAAGTAAATGTGGGAAATCCGATATATGAACACATAAAGTCGTCACTGTGTACCCAGCACAAAAAGATGATGGCTAGGTAAGACTGATTCTTGAAAGTCTTAAAAGTCATCCTAAAATCACAGGATTTTAATTTCCTATGAACACAGTAAGTTGTATAGGATAAATTTGTAGGATAATACATTTTGTTGCCTATTAAAACTAAAAACAAGCAACAGAGTAGGAAGGATTTGCACAATCTGCATGAAATCTCCTTAATGTGAGGTTTCAGTAGTGTAGCCATAAGAACTCTCATAAAATAGTAACTAGAAACTAGCACATTTAGCCAACTTTCTGCATTATACCATTAATACAGCTTTTTCTCTAGGGGCTGATATTAAATGATATATTTTATAACAATCTGATCTTTCTCTGAATTGCAAACTTCCTTTCAATATATATTAATCACTCTAACCTGTAATTGCATCACCTCTGAAGTATCTCCTAATGTATCTCTTTAACTAGATTACAGACTTATTGAGGGCAGGGACCATGTCTTCTTCTACTGTGCATTTTCCCACAGCTCTGAGGTGAAATGATTTATAGACTAAATGAATAAAAGATGCCAATTCAAATGCTAGTAATAGCACAACGGGTTGCTGTGATGATTTATCTGTTGCCTGCTTCATATAAATTAATCTCACCCTCAGACAACATGTAAGGTAGTTCCTAATAGCCCTCAGGACTAGGCGGTCTGCACGGCTTAAACACTGGAGAGTGATCTGACTTGCAATGAGCAGGATTACAACCTGAGCTTTTCTCCCTGTAGGTATCGGAAGGTGGTTTCCAACAACTGCACTGATGGCGTGAGAGAACAGTACACTGCCAAACCCCAGAAGTGCCCAGGAAAGGCACCCCGGGGGCTCCGGATAGTCACCTCTGATGGGAAGCTGACTGCGGAACAAGGGCACAATGTCACACTCATGGTCCAGCTGGAAGAGGTAGGACCATCCCTTCTCTCCCTCCACCTTCTAGCACCAGTGACTATTGCTGAGTAATAAGTGTTTGTGTATATGTCTTTTGGGGTTTGTTTACATACTATTTAAAATTTTAGATGCTGTTTAATTTTTATTCTACTTCTACTCTCTCAGTTTACTGTTGTTGATATAATTTTATCTTCACTGACTTTTTTTCAATGTTTTTCATTTCACTTCATTTTTATACTCTCCACTTTGACTTAATACCTTCATTTCTTGGGGCTGCTGTTCGGATTGAACCTTGCCTTATTGGCATTTTTAGCAGGCAGTTTTCTCAGAACACATTAATGTTATTCCTAGAATAATTTAACACACACATACGTACTCCTCCAAGTTGAAAGATGTGAAGGCTTTCTTTCTCTCAACTTGAAGCCTTAGCTTTTCTTTTCCAAGGGCAGCATGCTGTTCATATAACACTAAGACCAATTTAAACAAAATGGTATGTAATTTCTTTGGCATTTTTGTAGTACCTCAAGGATCATCATGAGCATCAATTATTATTTGTCAAAGTATGGCTGCCTTGCCTGAAATTTCTGAGTGTTGAGATGGTAGATAAAATGAAATGTATACTATGTATTTTAGAATGTGTACTGGTATTTTGTCATCTTGTAGCAATGGAAGATGGTTTCTAAAGGGTAACAATTTTCATTAAATGATGTCATAATAGTCCTACCTTCAACTGCATTTCCTGGGTGCATGAAATAGAGCCAGCACTGTAAATAAATATAAATACATAATGAAACATAACTGCATAAATACAAAGGGACTTAAAAAGTGAATAATGACATGGGATTAAGATGTACACATTGACTTCCCCTTCCTTTTCAAATCACCCAGTGGCTCTAAATCTTTCATATACATTCACATCAACTGATGAGCTTTTTAAAATATTTTCTGGGCCGATAACCAACATTTTGACTTAACAGATGGAGATGGGACCCAAGAATATGCATTTCTAATAGGTTATATAATGTGTTTCAATAAAATAAAAGTACAAATGCAAATTTTAGGGGTATAGAACTGTCTTGAGAGACTTTGGAGTATAACTTGAAGGGGGAAAGATGAAGGTGTTAGGATAACTTTGTCAGGTTTGATCAAGTTTACCAACATTTTCATTCCTATAGAAATAGCAACTGTGAAATAATGTTTGAGTCTGGCTTAGAGGATGCTGATGCTTCTGGCCTGAGGACCACTGCTTTAATCTGACACTCCTATTGTCTCCTTAATGACTGCCTTCCAGCCTACCCAGCCTTCTAAATACTGAGGTTGCCCAAATTCTTCAGTTGAAACTAGAAAGAAATAGGCCAATTGTGGTCAATTGGAATTGCTCTCATTTCATGGAAATAAAATGTTTAGGGATGCCATCCTGAGGCTGGGACATACTAGTTTTCAGCAAACCCAGTGTATGTGTGTATGTTTTAAGGAAGAGTAAGAGAGAGGTAAGGAGAAAGAAGAGCATGAGCAAACTATCAAGAGGAGCCACACTTATTTTCTAGAAGAATGGGAGAGTTCATCGTGCTGAGTCCAACATTTTATGCTATATTTCCCCTCAAGAATTTTCATACATCACAGTATAAGAGGTCAGATTGCAAACTCCAGTAGAAGGCAAGACAGAAATTGTTCTCCAAGCAGGCGTTGGTGCACTCACAAGAATAGAAGACAACGATTCAATTCAGGGCCACCCAAGCAGTTGGAACTGATGAGATCCAATCTCCATGGAGTGAAACATGGAGAAGGGGCACATTATAAGTATCCTGTCTCTTTACCCCCCACCTTAAGTTATTCAACAATACCTGAGTGATACAGGCAAAATAGAAAATAGTCACTAAGGGGAAGAGAAGTCACACAGAGTTCTTAGAAGTATTACATTCAGGGGTGATAAAAATTTGAGTTCAAGGACTATCAAGAAGAAAAGACTTGGAGAACACTATGAGATTAAGCTCTTGGAACTTCTGGAAAGTTCTCTCTTAGAAGTAAGAACAAACCAGAATTATACCAGTTCTGTAAAACTTGGGATTACTTTAGTCTTGAATGATTTAGTATGAATTTTCTACTGCTCTAAATAGTAATTAGAACCTAAAATAAATCCTAGAGAAAAATAAAGCAGAAGCCTTACTAATCTTTTAGTAATACTCTGCATTTAGACAAACAAAAAAAAAAAATCACAGGTCTATCAAGAGATAGGACTCAGAGGGGTAAAAAGTAACAGAAAAAAAAATTTTCTGAGCTATGTTGTTTATTCAAGTAGTAATGATTAATATGTTCATGAATGTAGTCAACATACAACATTTAACCCTCTATAAATGAATAGTATAAAGCAATCATCAGTGGGAAGTTGTAGAAATCAAGATACATTAACTATTAAGAACACAGATGGGTTTACAGCAGGTTGCACCTACATGAGTGAAGCACCAGCTAACTGGAAGAAAGGACACCAGGAAATATATCACTTGGAGCATGAGAGAAAAAATAGAAAATAGAGAAAAAAATTAATAGACACAATTGAAAATGGTGATAAGGATTAACACAGATGTAGTTGTAGTCCTAGAAGGGACGTCCAAGAAGGAGAGAATCATTTTAAGAGACAATGTTTGATAATGTTCCAAAATATATCAGCATGTCAACACACAGATTCTAGAGAATCAGCAAACTCTAAGCAGGACAGATGCAAAGAAAAACCTTATTTAGGTATCATATTCAAACTGCTGAAATCAGAAACCAAAACAATTTTTGAAAGTGCCCAGAAGAAAATGGAATGGCATCCCTCTTTGAAGTCCTGGAGGAATAAAGCATGAAGGTATAATAAAGACATTTTTCAGACACACAAAAACTGAGCTTGAGCCAAATCAGTTGATTTCTGTTAGAAGAAATACAAAAGGTAATTCTTCAGTCCTATAGAAAATGACCCCTGACAAAAGCACAAAAATAATGGAAAGAAAAAAAGTGCAAGAAAGAGTGATATATCTATATCTATATAGATATAGAGAAATTAATATACTATAGTATCTATAAATTAATATAGTTATCATTAATATAGAGAAATTAATGATAACTTACAGACCAATAATGATAATCAGCTATGACATAAAATATACTCAGAATCAAAACAAACAGCAGTAATAATGCAGTATGTGAAGTAAATGGAGTGAGAGTAGTTTAAGTATAATGAAATGTCTGTGAAGACATAATAGTACTAATTTATATTAGACACCATCACGTCCAGAATACGTGCTTTAATATCTAGAATAAGAACTAAAAGAAGAGAAAATAATATTTTAAATCAATGTATTGACAAAGGAGTTGGAATAATATTAAAGGTGTCTCATTGATCCAAGACAAGGCAAGACAGAGAAGAAAAGGAACACTGCAATGGATACAAATAGAACAAATATTAAAATTATAGATAAAATCTAAATATTAGCAGTAATTATATAAAATAGTGACTTGGTGGCCTACTTAAGAAGATATTATACCAGAATTTTTATTCTTTATTTTAGCCTAGGATTCATCTTGAATAAATTCATTTTAGGCAGGGTCCAAGGTCTACAAGGTCTACATGGTGTTTCCACATGCATACACCATTGACCCAGCATAATTGAAGCAAAATTCTTATCCCACTGAATAGCTAAGAGCCTCTGACATAAATCAGTCACCTATAGACACTTTAGAGTTCTTTATCCACTTTGTGGGTCTACCTCTAGACACTTTAGATTTTAAACCTATGTTAACTGCTAACTTCAAACACATTTTACTTTCTCTAGGTATAGATTAGGTCTTGATAAGTGGGCATATAAATCCTCTAAGCAGATAGAAAAAAAATCATATATGTGTGCATGTATGCATCTGTATATAAGCATGTATGCATGTTCATTTATAAATATGTAATTTATAATAGCATCCAATTACAAAACACATGAAAAAGCTAGTTTTTTTTTTTTTTTAAGATTTATTTATTTATTTATACAAGCACTGGGTACAGTCAGGAGCACGGGAAGGTGAGAGAATTCACCAGAGTCAGAGCGGGGAGCCGAGCAGGCAGACTGATGACATACACTGCTGAGGGGAGCAGTGGGCAGCAGGAGAGGTCTGCGCGCCTTCTGGGACTCTCACCCAGTGGCAGCTGGGGATCAAACCGGTGCTGCAGAGCTGCATATGTATATCATACTCAACAAATGCATACTGAAAAATAATTAGTTATTCAAATAAAATATAGTACTTAGATGTGTGTTTAGATCTTTAGGGGAAAAAAGGAAAAAGAAAGAAAACTTTGGGGGGACTGTTATGGGAGGATTCACTTTCTGACCTAATACTGCACCTTGTGTTTACCTGGATAGTGAATATGGAAGACCATTTCCCAGAGATTTAATGAATCAAATTATGATATTCAGCACCATTTTTTTGAAGCAACAGATATTTATCCTGGAGCAGAGTTCAGAATTCCAATTTTTGTTCCATGTCTAAGAACACAGAATAAGAGCTGAAATAGGACTCACTTCCGGTCAGCTGGACTTTTGTTCACAGGATGGAGTGCACCCTCCAGGGACAGAGGGCAGGCTCTCATCTATTCAACCTTCCATGTAACTAAGACTATCAGGCATCTCAAACTTGGCTGAGTTTTGGGAACAGACTGGGGACTGGTTCTAAGATGTGTAAATTCATACCTTCTGGGCATAAGAAAGGAAAAAAAAATCTAACAACTCAGCTCATTCCCCTTCAGTGGGCAACACTATAGCAGCAGAGATGAAATCTGTTGCCTGCAGCTGTCAGACCTGGCCTCTGGATGCTGTGTCTGCCAATGCAGTGTGAAGCCAGGAAGACAGCCCCTATATCAGGAGACCCTGGGGACCTCACATTACACAGTAGGGTTCTCTACTATTGATTTACAAGCTCCCATTACAGAAACAACCTCAGTTTCTCTTTAATCTCTGGGCTGTGAACATTAGCCAGGGTGATGCACATGGTGA